ATGCATCATTTAGATCTGATCCCTCTTGTGTTGATGAGGAAACTGAGGTTTGGAGAGTTAAACAACTTGTTCCAGGTCACATAGCTGGTAAGTAGAGGAGTCAGGAGTGATGTTTCTGCTTTTAATGAGTTAATATAAGCAAAAGCACTGGCCCAATGTCTGATGTACAGTATGTGCTCAGTAAATGCAGTTTCTGTCTCCCCTCCCATGCCCCCACTCAGCAACCCAGGAAGAACCGATGACTTTGTCTCTTGTGTCTTCCTGCCAGGGCTTCTTCCAATAAGACCTTCGATGGGCTGGCCTGGTGAGTGAGGGCTCTGAGGCAGTGAAGGGTACGGCTGCCAGATGCCTCCTTCAGACACTGAGCATGCCTCTGCTTACCCTCAGCTCAGCTACAGAGAGGGTGGCACTCAAATATATGACCCCCGTGATTCTGCTGGTGTTTGCACTGGCGCTATATCTGCATGCTCAGCAGGTGGAATCGACTGCCCGCTTGGACTTCCTCTGGAAACTGCAGGTGACTGGGGGGGCAGGGGAAGGGGAGGATTTTGGGGGCAGAGCCCAGGCCAAGCCAGAAATACATCCTGGTTAGCTAGCCAAGGCTCAGGCCCACCCTGGCTCCATGCTGTCTGTGTCCATCCCCTGTCCCCGTCCCCGTCACCCCTTTGCCTGTTCTTTAGGCCTCATCTCTCCATGCCTTTCTTCTTCCACGTGGTTCCCTCTGATGCCCATCTCCAGGTGTTGGCCGCTGCACCCACGCCTTGTGAATGTTGGGCAATGGGTGATGGGTGTGGTGTCCACAGGCAACAGGGGAGAAGGAAGAGATGGAGGAGCTCCAGGCGTACAACCGGCGGCTGCTGCATAACATTCTGCCCAAGGATGTGGCCGCTCACTTCCTGGCCCGGGAGCGCCGGAATGATGAGCTCTACTATCAGTCGTGTGAGTGTGTGGCTGTCATGTTTGCCTCCATTGCCAACTTCTCAGAGTTCTACGTGGAGCTGGAGGCCAACAATGAGGGTGTCGAGTGCCTGCGGCTGCTCAATGAGATCATCGCTGACTTTGATGAGGTACTTGTCCAGTTGACTGGTGCTGGCAGAGAGTGGGGAGAACTTTGGCTGAAAAGGCCCAGGATTGGAGGGGCTGGGAGGTACTGGGAGAAGGGAGAGAGATTTGATGGGACCCAGAGATGTCAGGGGCAGGGGTAAGGGTAGGTACAGTGGAGGCAGACTAGGGACCCATGAAGGTGTTAGAGGTAGCAAGGAGGTGAGCCCAGTGGGGCAGGGTCATCACTGTTGGGGAGCTAAGGAGAACAAGAGGATCTGGAGGGAACAGGACAGGCACCAGGTGGATGTCATTGAAGAAGAAGGCAGTAAACTGTGGACAGAGCCCCATGAGGCCAAGTAAGCAAGATGGTCCCTCGAATAGAGGAAATGGAAGCCAAGTGTGAGGAAGTGTCCTGAAGGCCCAGGACAGGAATAAGCTGTTCACTGTTCTGGAGGGGGGCCCTTTCTCCCTCTGGGACTTTCCCAAAAGGTGAGGGCTGGAGTAATTGGTGCCTGCTACCCCTTCTGCGTCTCTGGTTTCTGTGTTCTGTGAGTGAGCTATTGCGTTGACTTGAAGCTCTGTGCTCAAGCCCTGGCCTGGGTTCTGACAGCTGCCTGGTGAGGGAGACCTGTTTTCCTGGCTTTTCGGTCTTGCACTGAGAGCAGCAGCTGGAAGTGGGGCTCTCTCACTAAAAGAAGGGGAGCTGTTGCGATAGGTGGGGAAGGGGGGCCAAGGCATGGCAAGAAATGAGGACTGGGCCAGGGTTGGGTTTGGCCTCTTTGCCTTGACAACCGGGTCCGTCTGTTGTCCAGATCATTAGTGAGGAGCGGTTCCGGCAGCTGGAGAAGATCAAGACGATTGGTAGCACCTACATGGCTGCCTCCGGCCTGAATGCCAGCACCTATGATCAGGCGGGCCGCTCCCATATCACCGCCCTCGCGGACTATGCCATGCGCCTCATGGAGCAGATGAAGCACATCAATGAGCACTCCTTCAACAATTTCCAGATGAAGATCGGTGAGAGGGCCTGGCTGCCTGGCGGGTTTTCTCGGGGCTGTCTCTGGGGGAAGCTGAGGGAGCAGGCAGGATGGCATCACACATTCCCCGTCAGGACTCACGTGGGGTTTCCTTTTCTCCCTCCTCCTATGCTGTCTTATTATGAAAGCCAGATCATTTACTGAGGGCCAGCTATGTGCTAGGCACTGTCTTAGACATTTGTGAGCACGTTTTAATCCTCACGTTATTATCCCCTTTCACAGAATAAGAGACTGACTCTCAGAGAGATTAAATAACTCTGCCAAGGTCAAACAACTAGTAAGTAAGTGGCTGAACTGGGATTCAAAACCAGGTTTATGTAAACTCCAGTACCTGAGCCCTTATCTACGGCCAGTCTGATAAGAGGCACTTCCTCTCAGATGTACTGAGGATGGGAGTGGTTAATAACATGGGTTCTGGAGTCAGACTGGTTTGAATTCTGGATATTCCACTTACTGCCTTAGTTAGCAAGTCACCTAACTTCATAACCTTCACTTGCCTTATCTGTAAAATGGGGATAATGATACCTACCCTTTTAGGGCTGTAGAGAGGATGAAATACTGATGAAAATGCGTATCGGGAGAGCTTGGCACAGTGTACCTTCTGTAGATGAGCTGCTGTTACAGTATAGCCGTCTTGACTTGGGGGAGCATCTCTGCTGACAGGCCCAGATCTTCCATTCTTGACAACCAGGACACTTGTCCCTTTGCCACTTTCTTCCCTGGGTCCTTCTAAAGGTGGGATGACCTCCCGGGCTGACCTTGGAATAGCCAGTTGTCTCAGTGTCTTGCTGCTCTCCCCACCCCAGGACTGAACATGGGCCCAGTCGTGGCAGGCGTCATAGGGGCTCGGAAGCCACAGTATGACATCTGGGGGAACACAGTGAATGTCTCTAGCCGTATGGACAGCACGGGGGTCCCTGACCGAATCCAGGTGAGGGGAACACGAGCAGAGGCTGGGAGGTCCCTCTCTGCACTCGCTAGGTTGGGTAGGGTGGCAGTGTGCTGTGGTTGATGGGGTGGGGGTTGGGGGAGGGCAGTTAGAGTGATGAGAGGACCTCTGGGCCTCTGCAAATGTAACAGGAAGGATCCCAGGCTAAGCAGTCTCCCCTCCCACCCCCCAGGTAACCACGGACTTGTACCAGGTTCTAGCTGCCAAGGGCTACCAGCTGGAGTGTCGAGGGGTGGTCAAGGTGAAAGGCAAGGGGGAGATGACCACCTACTTCCTCAATGGGGGCCCCAGCAGTTAGCAGGGCCCAGCTACAAATTCAGCTGAAGGGACCAAGGTGGGCATTTGAGTGGACTCTGCGCTCCCTGGATGGAGCTGTGACAGGGGGCACTGAGCCTCCAGACCCTGCTGACCACAAAAGGGAACACCCCAGCAGGCTGGGCTTGGACCACGTTCATCTGCCCTCAGGCTGGAGAACAAGGGGATACCAAGAGGATTTTGCAAGTGACTTTCTTTTTAAATTGGGGCAGACCTGTTCCCTCTCCTTTCTTCCAGCTTTTGGAGGAAGGGGAGAGGGCAGCAGCAGAGGCAGTGGAAGTCCTTCTGCCTGAGGGATGAAAATGGCAGCTTGCCATGCCTACCCTTTCCCTGTCTGGGCAAGAGGCTCAGGGCTGGGCCCTTCTTCCCTTTTTTCTGGGAATATTTTGTACAAAGACTGGGCAGGCATGAGGAGTGCCTATTCCATGCTTGCCTTCCCTATGCCTGCAACCCCAGCACGGTCCTGGGAAACCCCCCTTCCCGAGCCAGGTCTCCCTCCTAGGCACAGGGCAGAGGAGGGAGATGCTCTGGGGACCCAGCTAAGTCCATATTTCAGGGTAATGTTTCCATTTGCCAAATCCTAGTCCCATGATCTGTCCCCAAAGGGGAACAAAGGGACTTCTGTCAGCTGAGATTTAGCCCCAGTTCCTGCAAAGCTCCAGGGAAAGGGGTGTGTGGCCTCATTGGTACTGTGAAAATGCCCAGCCAGAGAGCAAGCATTTGTGTGGGGATGTCAGACCAGGAGCTGGAAGTCCACCTGCACGTGCCAAAGAGAGTAGGCTGGCCAGGGAGTGGGGTGAGGCCAGACTTTGATCTGAGAGCCCCAACAGTCAGGATCAGGTCATTCTGCCCCAGTGCTCTCTTGTTGTCTGCTGGCAAGGGGGCACACAGCATCTCTACCCCTTCTGTTGCCAAATTGGAAAAGGGCCAGGGCATGAAGGAAGATGACCCTGATCCAAACCTGTCCTCCCAAGCCCCTGGCACTGGGGAGGACCTGTGTGTCTGTGTAATGTGCATGCATGTTGGTCTTTGTGTGCGTGTCTGTTTTCCAGGGCTGTGTGTGTCCTTGTGCTCCTGCTCCCCAGCTCCCCACCCCGGGCTGCCTCTCTCCTGTGGGCCTCTATCTTCTGGGAATAAGGCAGGGTTTCCAGTTCCAAGGGATGGAGAGAGATGCCCAGGTTGCACAGGAGTGGGATGGGGGTGTGGGAGCAAGAGGAGGGGGTGTCCTGGGGAGAGGAGTCCTTTTTGTGCCAAATCCCTAAGTGCCATTTGGGGGCCACATGTGCAGCATGACTGTCCTTGCCTGGAGCAGGGACCAAGCCCGAACTGTCTGGGGTTTCGTGGGCAGAGGCTCAGGAATTTCCTGGGTTCCCCAGCTTGTGTCCTGGGACGTAGTATGCTTTGGGACTGGGGTAGCATGGGGACCCAGATACTGGTACTAGGGGATGGGGCCGGGGAACCTGAAACTTGGCCTTCCCCAGCCTTCAGCCTGAGTCGAGCATGTTCCTGGCCCCCCAACCCCTGTGAAGCCTGCAAGGGCTGGCAGAAGGGTTAGGAGGCTGGAGTCTAGCTTCCCCTCCTATTCCTGCCTTCCTTTTATCCCTTTCCCTCTAGCCTCCTTGCCTCTGGCCTGTATTAGTGGTGTCTTGGTTTCTCCATCTGTACCTAATTAAGTCAAAGGCATGAGCTTGAATTTTGCTTGAAGATTGCTTTGTCTCGGAGGCGATTAGAGAGGCAAAGGAGAGAGGGTCCCAGAGTGGCTGGGTTTGGGAGTAGAAGGGGCAAGTGGTACTCTTGCCCTTCCTCGTGCCCTTCCTGACTCCAGCTCCTGGTTTGAACTGCCTGCCTTGCAGGATCTTTATGCATCAACCCAATAGGCCATTAGGCATTTCATGAGCCAAGGCGGGAGGAGGGCAAAACACTTAATGGGTCCAGACAGAAAATCAGCTCCTCTTCCCTCAGCCATATCCCTGGATAGGAAGGGACTGCTTGGAGCCATGGAGTTGGGGTGAGGGTATAAGGAGACCAGAGTGAGAAGACCTCATTCTTGGGGGACCTGTCTCTGCTTTTTGCCAGGTGGCAAGGGCCTGTCCAGACCCTGGCTCCCCATACCACAGTGCCAGCCATGCTCTTCCCCTGGGCTACCATCGCCCCTTTCCTCACCAGTTGGTGGGGGAGTCAGTGGATGGGAGGGCCATGGTTTTATAATGTAACCACTGTTGGGAGGGGGGCAGGGTGATGTACCATGTATTTCAGTGAAATATTTAATATATTTAAATATCAATAAAAATCAAACTCTTTGTAAAAAAATTCCCTGTTCTCTGCAGCTGTTCTGGGCTCCGGGTTGGGTTGGAAGTGGCAGAGCCTGGAGTAGGAGGCAGCTTCCTGCCCGAGGGCTCTGTGGACCTCTCGTCTGTGGTCAGAGGGCTTCCTCTGGTTTTCTCCCTGCCAAGGTGAAGCTGCAATTGTCTTCAGACAGCACGACTACTCTAGGCCCTTCAGCATCATGAAGACCAGTGTGTCCTTCCAGATATGTTACCCTAACCCCTTCCTCATATGAGATCAGGCCTCCCTGTGGTGGTCTTTCCACTGCCCTGGCCCCTCCCAAACCAAACACCAAGTTCTGGCTCCTTCACGACTCTCTCACATATCTGATCTCATAGGAATCTGGGCATTGGGATAATTTCCCTCCCCCTCCTTTCAGTGCATACAAGTGACTTCTAGTGCAATCTGTTTACTTTGCTTTCTTGATCCCCTCCTCCTGTTAGTCAGCCATCAGAACCAGGATGCCTTCTTCCTCTTTCCCCTTCTTTGCCCTTCTTCCATAGTCCATCTTGTCATTATGCAAACATATCCTGCTCAATACAGACTGAAGTTTCTGTCATTGAGAATAGAGTGATCCATAAACCTGGAAAAGAGTGTCTCAGATTCAGCCAGGCCAGGCTGGAATGTGTGTGTGTGTGTGTGTGTGTGTGTGTGTGTGGCGGGGTAGTGGTGGTGGGGGTCCTTACACGTAGCTCCCAAGACTGCCTCTGGGAAGAATGGGCAGGGGTAGTGATGAGAAGTAGGGCTGCTGCCAATGGATGGTGGCTAGACGGGGTGGAGGCAGCAGCGAGGGGAGCATAGGACTCCCACAGGAATGCAGTAGACATTTGTGCTGCTCAGAAGTCATGTCCATAAGGCGAAACACAAACACAGACACATCTTTAACTCCTTTGATGCCACCACTGCCCAGATTCCGGGGCCAGCTTCCGCTGGTAAGACCAAAACCACCTCTTCCGTTCCCTAAGTCTTGAGTAGAGTGAAATACTCTCTAAGGGTTTAAGTGAGGGGGGTACTTCCCTTGGTCTCCCCACCTCACTCCTCCCAGTCTCACCTGGTCATTGGACTTCTAATGAGGCAGTGGCGAGGGCTCCGGATCCATGGCATGGCTTCCTCTGGGCGTGCTCCTGGATTGTGGGACCTCCAGAAGCTGAAGTTCTGAGCATCAGTCAAGGGGACTCTGAAGACCTGGTTGGGGACTGAATGGTTTGGGGAAGGGCAGGTTATCCAATTTCTTTGAGTCCTCTGCTCCCTTTTATGCCTCAGGGCACCACAAACCCAACCTAGCAACTGGGCCTGACCAGGTGCTGAGAAGTCCTGGGAATTTGGTCACCACACCCAGCTTTACTTCCGGATTCCAGCATTTCACACCCTTCATGGTCAGCTGAATCAGTCTTAGTTCTTCCTGCTGCTACTAAGCCCATCTCTAAGAGAGCTTTCCCCAAGTGCTAGGACAGTGGAAAAACAAGTGGTCAACCCGCTTGGGAAAGGTCCAAGATAGGTCCACAGGTTCATTTTTTTTTCTCCAGGCTTAACCATCCTCATTCCCTTCCTTCTTCTCTGAAGTAATTCCTTCCTTTGTTCATACCAGGTAATTCCTGAAATTTAGCAATGCTATTAGCTCATGTTTACATACTGCTCATAGATCTCATTTATCAAATGCCAATCATGTTCTAAATGTATTAGGTGTTCTTAAAATTTTGAAATAATGTCAGACCTATTTAAAAATTTTTTTTTTCGTATTTTCACTCTATTTATTTGGATAAATCTAATTATAACAGTGTATAAAACTTGTAGATTTTGAAAACTTAGAATTATAGCCTAATAGTCTGGTTACATAGTCTTTGTAATCATTATTAAAAAAAAAAATCTGTAATATACCATTGAGTAGATGTTACATTTTGACTTAGTTGTTTTCCTATTAATTGACAATCTTTTAAAAAGTTTTACTATTAGAGATAACTCTTAGATACTCCTTCATGCATGTCTTTTTAGTTTCTGAAAGCATTTTAGTTTTTTAAATTAAACTTTAATTTTGAGATAATTATAGATTTCCATACAGTCGTAAGAAATGATACACAGAGGTTCTGCGTACCCTTCACCCATGTCCCCCCAAATGGTAACATCTTGCAAAACTACATCCCACATCACAACAATTACAACCATGATATTAACATATTGATTTAGAACAGTTTCATCACTACAGGATCCTGGAGTTGCCCTTTTATAGCCACACCCTGAGCCCCCACCCCACCCTTGGTAATCAATCTGTTTTCTATAATTGTGTCATTTTAAGAATGTTATATAAACAGCATCATAGAGTATGTGATCTTTTGGGGATTGGCTTTCTTTATATAGCATAATTCCCTGGAAATCCCTACAAGTTATTGTATGTATTTGTAGTTTGTCTTAGATGCTTTTTAAACTGTACTTTTTCCTCTAAGTTTCACACAATGCTAGAGTATTATTTCCATTTTCAGATGGTTCAGAGAGGTTAAGTGGTTAAAGGAACTTGCCCAAGGTCACACAATTTGTTTGGAGTTTAACCTCAGTTCAAATTCCAAAGTGAGTGCTCAGTCTTACCGTAAACTCCTCATAGGCATAGCACAGAATAATACACCAGTACTTTCCTAAATTGTCTCATTTTTGGTTTGATCCTCACAGCCAATTCTGCAAGATTGGTAGAGCAGGCATTTTCTGTTTCTTGTTTTGTTTTTTAATGAATGAGGAAGCAGGTTAATAAAGGTAAGTGACCACTCAATGTGAGACATTTAAAAGAGGCAGAACTAGGACTCAACCCTGATCTGCTTCCATGTCTGATTCAATTTTTACTTTATCTTGCTCGCTCCACCATCCAGATCTACTTTGTCCCTTGTCTTCTCGGTCTCTTCTTGGCTTTTTTTTTCCCCCTGCCCTATAACCATGTCCCAGTCATATAACCTCAACCCAGTCATTCTTTAGGAACTCAGACATATCTACTTTGCCCCTAGCATGGTGCCTACTCCAAGATACTTACATGTCTTTAACAACACCTTCCGTACAGCTTCATGGTACCTCCTGTGGCTATTTTGGTGCACGGAATAATTCCCATCTTCTGAGGTAATCAGGGGAAGCCTGGTGGGCCCCAGTTCCTTCTGGTCTGAAATGAGAGCAGATTTGCTCTAAGTACTTGGCAAATGGGGCTATTTGATCCTGTGAGTCTCTAGTCTCCTTGTTAACCAGGCACATAATGGGATCTCTCCTAGTCATTCACATCTGTTTCTCGACTCTTGGGATCTCAGGAGTCAAATCACAAAGCCTGTGACGGGAGGGAGGGAGGAAGAACCCAGTGATGATGAGACCTCCTTCACCACTCTCTTGCTCCTCCCTGACTCTGGATTTTGTGTGGCCTACTGGAATCAAGATATTGACAGATACTCAGGATGAGTGCAGGTGGAAAAGGCCTCTTATCTGGTTGGACACTCCTTTCCTGGGATTGGCATATTTGCAGAGCTTTGATTGGTCTAATAGGGGAAGTTATGTTTGAGCTAAGTCTTGGAGGATAAGAAAGAGTTCATAGGACATGGTAGTATCAGGAAGAGCATTCCAGGCAGCAAGATAGCAAGTGTTAGAAGCATTAGAGAGGCCTCAGAGCTTGCTATTGATTTGGAGCCTGATGAGTGCTGGGTAAAGTGAAGAGGGACAGGGGATGGGGCTAGTTTAGAGTAGGGTAGGGTAGGGTGGGGTAGGGCAAAGCAGTGTAGTGTGGACCTAGTATTCTTATGAGGGTTTGGGGATCCCCTCAGGCAAAACCTGTATATCACTAGGCTGAAAAGACCAGATCTTCCTTACCCAGTGCTATGGTCTGAATGTGTCCTCCCCAAAATCCATATGTTGAAAACTTAATGACCAAGGTGATGGTGTTTGGAGGTGGGACCTTTGGGAGGTGATTAAGTCGTGAAGGCAGAGCCCTCATGAATGGGATTAGTGCCCTTATGAAAGAGGCCTGAGAGCACTCCCTTGCCCCTTCCGCCATAAAGAGAAGTCTGTGACCTGGTAGAGGGTCCTCACCTAACCATGCTGGCACCCTGATCTTGGACTTCAGCCTCCAGAACTGTGAGAAATAAATTTCTGTTGTTTATAAGCCTCCCAGTCTATGGTATTTGTTATAGCAGCCCAAACAGACTAAGATACTCAGCCCCTCTTGCAGCTAGGGCATTGGCAAAGAGTTTTGGCTAGGCCAGGCAAATACATTTGTTCCAGATTTTGAGTCAAAGATGAGGTTGCAAAGAAGCAAGGACATGTAAAGCCTTTTTCTGCTGATGGGAAGTAGCATCAGTGAAGATGCACTTGTATCTGGTAGCAGTATCTAGGGCCCAGCGTCCTTGGTGCCAGGAGTGCCCACCACAGCATTGAATGCAGTAGTATCTATGCCTAAGCAGTTCTGTGCCATGATTCTGAACATTGTTTCTGATTACTATCTGCCAGGTTTGGTTCTCTGTTCCCTCTACAGCTTTTATGTGCTTCCCAATATTGAAAAAAACTGTTGTATAACTGACAGATAAAAAGTACCTATTTAATATATATGACTTAATGAGTTTGGAAATAAGTACACGCCTGTGAAACCATCACCATAATCTATGCCATAAACATATCCATCACTTCCAAAGATTTTGTCCCATTCTTTTTATTGTTACTATTAGTTATTTTGTGATAAGAACATCTAACATAAGATTTAACTTCTTAGCAATTTTTTTTTAAAAGATTTTTACTGGGGAATTGGGGGGATGGGAACAGCACTGGGGATTTGGGGGAAGGGGAACAGACAAGTTGCTGTCATTTTGTTGTTGTTCAGTCTAGTTGTGGAGGACGTTGCTTTACTGGCCCAAGTTGGCACCATCATTGCGCTCTTCCCGGGCGAGGCAGATCAGTCACC